CCTAGGGCCCAGCGGCCTTGTGAAAGGAGGAACCCGAGGTACTGGACTCGCCGTTGGCAGATCTGGGCCTTCCTTCTTCCAGGAGACGCGATACTCAGCTTCTGACAGTGATTTGAGGACGGCCCGCGTTCCTGCCGTGCAATTTTCCTTGGTTTCCCTGGCAAGGAGTAGGTCGTCCACGTAAGGGCTAAGTCAGCGGCTAGGGCCTCCCCGAACAGGGTGGCTGAGTTCTTAAAACCCTGTAGTAACCGGGTCCAGGTCGGTGGCACCTGTCTTCCCGTGTCTGGGTCTGTCCATTCAAAGGCGAATACGGGCTGGCTCTGGGGTGCGAGCCGAAGGCAGAAGAAGGCACCCTTTAGGTCTAGGCAGGTGAACCACGCGGCAGTGCCAGGGACCTGGCTGAGGAGGGCGTCTGGGTTTGGAACCACTGGATGCAAGGAGATAGTTACTTTGTTGATGGCCCCGAGGTCCTGCACTAGCCAGTATCCACCCCCGGGTTTCCTGACAGGCAGCAGGGGAGTGTTCCAAGTCGACTGGCATTTGACCAGGATACCAGAGTCCCTGAGCTTGACTAGGTGGCCTCGGGTACCCAGGGTGCCTCTCGGGGGATGGGATAGTGCCTTTGCCTCTGCGGGCGAGCTCCGGGTGTTAGCTCGGCTACCACTGAGGCCCCGTGGAGGGCGAGTCCAGGAGGGTCATCTTCAGCCCCGACGAGAGGAAATTCTGCCCGGAACCCGGGGGGTTCGCTCTGTTCTGGAGTGCTGAACAGCCTCCACTCTTCCTCTCTCGGGGTGACGACTGCCATATGAGGGGTGTGGAGCCTTCGCTACCGGGGTGTAGCTGCAGGGTGGTAGCCCCTCCTGGTCCAAAGGTGATCTGGGCCCCTAGTTTAGAGAGGAGGTCTCGGCCGAGGAGAGGGAGGGGGCATTTGGGCATGTGCAGGGACTCACGCCGCACCCGATGGCCCCTGAGCTCACACAGCGAGCTTGGCAGAAGGATTTCTGGATGGCCCGGTCCCCGGTCACTCCAAGTATTGTGGCTGCCCTCCTCCCCGGGGGCCCACAGGCGTAGTGACTACCGAGTGTTCTGCTCCGGAGTCTACCATAAAAGTCACATTTTGGCCCCTGACATTCACCCTGACCGTGGGCTCGTGGGGGCCAAGGAATATCAAGCCCGGTCCCCTTCAGTCAGAGTCTGTACCGGCTAACCCAACAAGGTTGCCTGTGGCTCCCCTTGATATTTGCTAGGTTTCCCAGGTTTCCCTTTATTGGGACTCATTGTTCCAGTGCCCAGCCTCCTTGCAGTAGGCACACTGCTCTGCCGCCAGTGGGGTCCGTCGATTTCCCCCTGTGGCGGGCGAGTCTCCTTTGCCCTCTGGATCCCTCCTCCCTGCGGGCCGCTGCTAGGAGGCTGACCTTCTTCTTCATCTTCTTGTCAGCCTCCCGCTTGGCAGCGGCTTCTCTGTTCATGTAGACTGTTGGCTATTTCTATCAATTGGGTGATATTCCTGCCGGCGAAACCCTCCTGTTTCTGGAGTTTTCTCTGAATGTCAGGGGCGGCCTATGCCACAAAGGCAGTGTTGACCATTTGCTGGCTTTCTGGTGCCTCAGGTCAAAGGGCGTGTGCATCCTGTATGCCTCGCAGAGCCGCTCATAATAGTCCCCAGGGGGTTCCTGTGGCTGCTGCGTTGCTGAGGAGACTTTGGCCATGTTCATTGGTTTTTTGGCCCCCCTCGAATTCCACAGAGGACTGCCTCCTGGTAGCGCCGGATGTCGCCCTGGCCTTCCTGAGTGGTGAAGTCCCAGTTGGGGCGCTCCTCGGGGCCGCCCTTAGGGCCCAGCCTGCTGGATCATTCGCCTCTGCGGGGGCGTTATCTTCTAGCCATTGACGGGCCCCCCCATAATCCGACGCCTCTCCTCCGTGTTGAACAGGGTATGGAGGAGCTGCTGGCAATCTTGCCAGGGTGGCCGGTGTGTCTGGAAGGGGGATTCCATGAGGTCTGTCGTGGCCTGCGGCTTCTCAGAATACAGCGGGTGTTATGCTTCCAATCGAGGAGGCCAGTGGTGGAGAAGGGCTGATGTCCTCCCATGTTCCCGTGCATGGTGTTGGATACAGACACAGGGTGGGGGAGTCCCCGGAGGGACCTTTCAGATGCCGTCCGTCTGCTGCCTCGCGGCAACTTGGGCCAGCCTTGACTAAGGTGCACCCGTATAGTCCCCAGGCCTGGTCAGCCGAAGCTGAGTCACTGTTATGTCGTTACGGCCGACTCCAGATGCAGATTGGGGCCCACTCAGATCCCGTGGCTAGCGCCGTGGGATCATAGACACATTCACTCTCACAGTCATTCAGAGGTTATTACGTTCCCTCCCTGGTTAACCCTACCTGGGGACCACCGAGGTCCTTGGGAGGGGATCAGGCTCCCCTTCTGCCCTTTTGGGAGGCCTGACTCGGTTGGGGCCCTGGGGCCTTACTGTGTCTGATGCCCTGGTCCTGTCCCTCCTCGCTGCCTCGAATCCGGTGGGGACCGCGGTACAAGGCCGAGTGGAGGCAGCCGGATCGGAGACTGCAAATCAGGTCAGGGCGCCCCTTCCCCTCTGTGACTCCTCCTTGTCGCCTGCCACCCCGCACTCCTACCCAAACCGGTGGCTGCAAGGGGCCAGCGCCTGGGAACCAAAAATCTTGCGGAACCAGAGACGTTCACCTTACGGAAAGACCAAGCGGCACTTGGAGGCTTGGGGCTCAGACATTGGACTTGGACTCCTCTGGGCCCGCCAGCGTAAAATAAACCTCCTGAACCCCGGGCCTCCAAGTGCCGCCTGGCCTTTCCGTAAGGTGAACGTCTCCTGTTCCGCAGCAAAGGATTCACTGAGCGAACAGGAATGCGCCTCCCTGAGATGGCCGCTCTCATAGGGACTCTGCTGTGAACCATCCCTGGGCAGTCCCAGAGCAGACTGTCTGCAACCTCTCCCGCACCGCCACCTGTCATGACCAGTGGGGACTGAGGCCAGAGGGTCAGTGGGTTGCCTGCCAAAATAGTGGGGTACCTGTCACAATATGGGGTGGACCTGTTACGATAATCTGGGCATCAGCACCAGGAAATACCTGATCACTCAGGGACACTTTGTGCCTGGGAGGCTTTTTAATTGTGACTAGTTGTCCATCACAAGTTTATGAGGCGAGGTTTGTATTTCCATTTCACGGGACAGATGAGGAAAGTGAAGCCAAGGACATGGAGTGATTTGCCTCGGAGCTGCCTGTCGAGATATGGGATGCCTGCTGTGATGGGGAGCGCCTGTCTTGATAGTGGGTGACCTGTTTTTGGAGTCAAAGCCACCCACTCCCTCCATTAAACCCACTAGGCTGTCTCCGCCTCAGGCCTGGCTCCTGCGGGGCGTGGGGCTTTCCAGAGATTTGGGGACTATCCACAAAGGAAGAGTTTCAGGTAGCTGATGGTGTGTGTGCTGGAGCCCATGGTCACTCTGTCCACTTGGGTGGGGAACAGAGCAGAGTGGATCAAGGGCCTGGCAAGCCATCCCACCCAGCAACCAGGTCCTAGGGGAAAGCACCCCCCACCTTCCCAGGTCTTCCCCCTAGGTGCTCTGGGCCTCTCCTGCACATGTGCCTGAAACCTGCAGGAAACCACTATTTTATCCCCTAACAGGCAAGTGGGGTGCGGCATGTCTTCCTGGGTCCCACAGGCACATCTGGACGACCTGAAGCCCATCCTGGACCAACAGCTGTCTGGGCCTGGCTGCTGTCTGAGAGGGGTGCAGGGCTCTGCAGTGGGCTCACCCAGGGCACCTCCACCTGCCACCCTCTTAGCTGCCCACACAGGCCCCTTCGTGCTCCTGCAGAAAGCCTTCCGCTGGGAGGTGGAACAAAGTTCCTAAGCCCCGGCAGGCAGGCAGGCCCGAGCTGGGAGGGGAGCAGCTGGGGGAGAGGCTCTTCCCAGGGCTCCCTCCCCCTCTGCTCACCGACAACAACCCACCATCCTCCCCCTCTCTTTTGTTCAAATGAGAGAATTTGGGGGAACCAGAAAAAATATGGGTTTTATTTTCAAAACTAGAATCGATTATAATTGGGGTTAGTTCAATATTCCCAGCATGCTGGAGCCCAGTTCTACAGAGTCCTTGCCAAGCAAAGAGGAGGAGCTGGGAGGCTCTGTGGGAGGTTTGGGCCAGAGAACAGGAGAGGAGGGGGCTGCTGTGAATAAATAACAGCGAACAGCATCAGTCTGCTCCCATCTTAGCTCCACCACTAGCTGTGTGGCCTTGGGCAAGTTTCTGACGTCTCTGTGCCTCAGTTTCCTCATATATAAAACAAGGATTAGAACAGAACCCAAGGCAGAGTGAGAGCATGCCGTGGGAGGGCCCATGTACAAGATCTCGTTCCCTGTCACGCACCCTCCTCATCGTCACCTGCTCAGTGCCGAACAGTGGGCTCCGCGGCGCTGGGAGAACTGCCCCGGTGGACCCAGCCCTGACCCGCCTTCCTGCCCTGCTTGGTGACTGTTCCCCTTGAGACTCCTCTCCTCAGGGTGAGGCTGGTTCCTTGGGTGCCCGCCCCTGCTGCCAGCTGTCCGACTGAGGCGATGGTCACAGCCTTAAATGATAAAATGTTTGTGAGGAGCCTTGGGATTTGTCCACCTTCCTTCACCTTGGATCATGGCGCCTCCTCCCCAGGAAAATGACGTCGCCCGCAGCGGGCTAGGGCTGCGGCTGGGCCTGGGCGCGCTGTCTCCGGGCGCTGTGGTTCTGGCCAGGTCTGCGCCCTGCATGCGCTGGAGCCGCGGCACCGCCCGGCTCACCTGGTGGCCGCTCGGGTGGGAGCAGGCGGCCTGGGCAGACGTACCTGCTCCTGTCCTCAGCCCGTGCACATGCCCCTTGGTGCCTGTGGCAAAGGAGAAGAATGTGGCGAGGAGCCATGAAGGGCTGACCTGACACCCTTAGGTGGCCCAGCACCAGTGCAGGGGGGCCTCACGTTCTCCTTTTTGCCCTCAGGGGTCTAACGTGATGGAAGAGCAGGATCTGCGGGAGATCGGCATCAGTGACCCGCAGCACCGCCGGAAGTTGCTCCAGGCTGCACGGTCCCTGCCCAAGGTGCCTGTCCACAGCTCTGCAGCCTTGGCCTTTGCCAGAGCCAGGGCCATCTCCCTACATCCCCTGGGCCCAAAGTAGGGAAAGAGCTTGGCTCTGGGCATGCAGATCACTCTGGGATGTCTGCCCTCATCCCGGAGGTCCCAGAGGACAACAGAGTTCCATTTACTTCACCAAGTCCTGAGGTCCCAGAGAGCCCGCAGAGCACAAGAGACAGTGAGGACTGGTCCAGCCTCAGGAGGGGGCCGCAAGCATCTACCGGGTGTGCGCTTGGTGCCCACAGGCTTGGCCTCTGGAACCCCTTCGGGGTCTCTCCTGAATCACACGAGACCAGGCCAGCCTGTGCTGACCCCTGGCATCTTTCCCTGGGGGGCCAGAGGCTGGTAGAGATGAGCCTCTCCTCGACTATGCTGGCACTGAGACCAGTGTCCCCTTGTCCCTTCCACTTGCCCAGAGCTCAGGAAGCATAAACAAGTCCCAACAGTGAGGCAAATGCCTGTGTCACAGACAGTTTTCTTGTCCCACCAGGTCCATGACCTCTGCAAACCCTCCCTCCACCTAGCCTTAATGGGGCCACCATCCCCAGACCCGGGATCCTCTGGTGTTCTCCAGATGGGGAACCTGAGACCAGAGCCACAGTAGAAAGAGCTGTCAAAGGGAGGGACTTGAGGGAGGGAGGCAAGGACACAGGGCCCCTCTGTGGCCTCAGAAGCTGTCCCATACCTACGCCAGCTGTGGTCTCTGGTGTGACTGTGTGAGCTGGCCTAGGTCTCCATGGTCCCCAGGGACCTTGTTCCAGGAGTGCTGAGATGTCAGTCCCGGCCTTCCTCCTCGCCCCACAGGTGAAGGCCCTGGGCTACGACGGGAACAGCCCCCCATCAGTGCCCTCCTGGCTGGACTCCCTGGGCCTGCAGGACTATGTCCACTCCTTCCTGTCCAGTGGCTACAGCTCCATCGACACTGTGAAGAACCTCTGGGAGCTGGAGCTCGTCAATGTGAGTGCAGCCAGGCCTGAGCATGTGCTGTCCTGGGCTGCCGGCCTGGAGGGGGGGTTCTGCCAGAGGGGGTGGCCCTGTGGGGCCAGTCACCACCTGACTGCTGCTTTCCCCTCCCCACGCAGGTCCTAAAGGTTCACCTCCTCGGCCATCGCAAGCGTATCATTGCCTCCCTCGCAGACAGGCCCTATGAGGAGCCACCCCAGAAGCCCCCAAGGTTTTCCCAGCTGAGAGTGAGTTTGGGAGGGATGGAGAGGGTTGTGTGCGGTATTTGTATTTTTAAGAATTGAGGGGAATTCTTAGGAATTTTTCAGAGAGGGCGTGACCTCAGTGGAGGTGCAGAGGATCCCTCCCTTCTTGCTGTCGGGGCCACGTCTCGTCTTGGCCCACGTCAAGGGGAGCAGTTGTTTGGCCGGTTATCTGTCAATCACATGCCTACCATCTAAAGAATAAATAGGAAGCGCATGCTGGGAAAGGCAGGAAAGCAAGCATCGAATCCCCATGGCCGGGCGAGGAGCCTTTTCTGACAGTGTGACACGAGCCTGAGCCTGACACAAAGCTTGGAATACACGGCGACCTGGGTCCCCACCCCAACTCTTCTGAAGGAGGACTCCTGTGGCAGGCAGGGTGGTTGAGAGCCTGTGACTCAGAACCTCACAGGTGCTTTGTTGCTCCAGCCAGGTAACCCCTGGCTTAAGAGCAGGTTAGACCTGCAGGCCCAGGGTGCCTGTCTCCCCGCCTCAGGGCTGAGCTGCTCATGGGCAGAGTGGGTGTGAGCAGTGGGGGCCCCAAGGGTCTCACCAAGTGGGCACTGCTCTGTCCTCTCCCGGACATGGGGGGCCAGCCGCCCGGAGCCTCGCTGTCCAGCTGGAAGCCGAGGGCCCTGGTTCCTGTCCTCTGAGAGGGGCTCAGTGCCAGTGGGCGTCTTCGTTTTCTCCACTGGCCCAGGATGGATCTGACAGATAATTTATCTGATAACAGAAAGCACTTCCCAGCCCTATAACGCCCCTTTTCCTGTGCAGTTCCAGGCCAGGGGGCATGCTGGTGAGCTGGGGGGCTCAGGGTGGCTGCTTGCCCACAGGACAGGGCTTCCCGGCTCTGCAAGGATTTGGTTGCTGTGACTGCCCAGGCTGGGCCAACAAGCCATTTGTCTGGTACCTCCCAGCCTGTGCCTGTCTCGTGCCTGTGCTGCCCAGGAGGCCTGAGCAGCCCAGGACTGGCCCACACCTTCAGCCTCGGCCCTGGCCTGCTGGCTCTGAGTTTCACCTGGACTTCTCCTTACTGCAGTGCCAAGACTTGCTCTCCCAGACGTCGTCCCCCCTGAGCCAGAATGACTCGTGTACCGCACGGTCTGCTGACCTGCTGCTGCCTCCTGGGGACACAGGCAGAAGGCGACATGACAGTGTCTCTGACCCCACGGCACCCTCTCGAGTGGAGCGCTTCAGAATCCAGGTGGGTCAGGAGGGGTGCTGCAGGCAGGGGTTCCCCCGTTCCTCTGGGCAAGACAGGGCCTCCTGCCCCAGCCCCGTGCCGAGCACTGCTGAGCTGGCCTCAGGAGCAGAAAGACACCAGCCTCCTCCCAGCATTCGCCACCAGCTGCCTGTGCCAGCCATCGAGCCCCCAAGCTCCCACTGCTGCGAGTCAAGAGGCGCTTCTGCTGTCCCTGCCAGGCCTCCCTGTGTCTCTTGTGGCCTGGACCTCCCTCCTCAGAACCGCCGCTCAGGCCACCATCCTTCAGCTTCTCCGGCTCTTGCCCTGTCTTGGCCCCATTCGTCCTTACCCTGCCCATTCCCCAGAACTTTCTGTCCCCCCAACTCCACCCCCTGCTGTTCCACCTGCCCAGCAAAACTGCAGCCCGGCTCTGGCTCAGCTCTTCCTGCTATTTCTGTTGCCCAGTGTGGACGCAGCTGCCAGCCTCCCCTCCACTGTGTTCACACCCTCGCACACTCCCTGGGCCACCCCACAGCCCTTGTTATTGCTCACCGGAGCTGCCCTCCAGATTGGGGGTGCCCTCATCACCCTCGGGGTGAACTTTAGCATCTCTCCTTTTCCCCTCAACTTGTGCTTTTCATTTCTGGCCTCTGGGCATTTCCCTACCTTTCCACAGTCATAATCATGGCCGTGTTTTTACAAGACTTTTAAAAGAATGTCACCTGGCCATTCACATTGCTCTAGATGGAGAGACTTTGCACGTTGCTGGGAATGGGAGTCGCAAATACTTCCTGGGTCTTCCCCCTCCCCCATACCAGTGCCCTAGGTAGGGCCCCATTATCCACCACAGGGACTGCAGTGGCCTGTCCACCCACCCCGTCCCACTGCTGCCCCGACACTCACTACACTGCATCCCTGGCGTGGGCGCCTCAGTGACTCTCCCACGCTGGGGCCAGAGCCAGGGGCTTCGGCGGCGACGAAGCGTCCGGGAATCAGGCTCCTGCTCCCGTGCTTCTTGCCTCGTGCCACCCCACACAGACGTGTTTTCCCTCTGTGGTGTCGGTCATTTCCCGTCTCCATTAAGATGCATCGCAGACCCCGCATAGCCTTCGTGACAGAGCCTGCTTTCAGTGTCTTAGGTCCCTGCTCCTCCGCCTTTCCTCCGGCCAATAGGCCACACTCTGGACAGCGCCTTTGCTTGGCTGTCTGCTCCTGCCATCCCACCCGCCCTTGACCTCGAGGTGGCTGCCTTCCTTACCCTTGGGTATGCTGGAGCCAGGCAGGGAGCCCGTGAGCTCTTCTGGAGGGGTGTGCGGGGCAGACCTGTGACCCTGCATGTTCTGCAGGAAGAGCACCGAGAGGCCAAGCTGACCCTTCGGCCGCCCAGCCTTGCCGCCCCCTACGCCCCTGTGCAGAGTTGGCAACACCGGCCAGAAAAGCTCATCTTCGAGTCCTGTGGTTATGAAGCCAATGTGAGTTGCCCCTGCCCTCCCAGCCCAGCCAGCCCCCCTGGTTCCTGCCCCCCACTCCCACCCACACTCCACACCCCACCAGCTTAGGGCTCCTCAGACACTCCTAGCACCTGTTGGGTGGGGCCTCCCAGCCGGCATGGGGGCAGGGAATCTTTGGAAGAGGGGACCAGTCACCTCTGCGTGATAATGCAGGAAACTTCCTAAGCCTGGCCATTGCTCACTCCACAGTACCTGGGCTCCATGTTGATCAAAGACCTTCGAGGAACAGAATCCACACAAGACGCCTGTGCCAAGATGCGGGTAGGTTATCTTCGTGGGGTGAAGGGCTGGCGAGGATGGAAGGCAGCAAGTGGGGTGCCGGCTGCAGCTACCTGGGCCTTACATGAAGGTGGGGGTGGGAGGGTGGCTGGCCATTGTGGGATCCAAGAGGCTTGGCCCTGGAAGGGGCATTCACGGGGCCCCCCATTTCCTACAGAAATCCACTGAGCACATGAAGAAGATACCCACCATCATCCTGTCCATCACGTACAAAGGCGTCAAGTTCATCGATGCCTCCAACAAGGTGGGAGGGGCCTTCTCCCTGTCCCTCTTCCCCCGCCAGCTGGGAGTCGTCCCTGGGTACCCTCAGCCCTTCTGTTCCTCTCCATTCCCACCCAGCCCATGCTTGTTCCTCATGCACCCACACGTCCTGATCCGGGCTGGGCACTAGCGACCACCCCTGCACATTTCCCAGCATGGGCGCCCCTGCCCACTCACCAGGTCATAGGCCTGTAATGCTGAGTCTCCTAATGAGCAAAGTCCTCCCCGTGCTGAGCAGCCGCCCTGCTGGTGCCCTTCCCTCCCCGCCCCCGCCCTAGAAGGCAGAGGGGCTGGAGCTGGTGACTGAATATTTACTCCATCAGCTGCCATGGTCAAGGGTGGAGACCCCAGACCTAAATCAGCAAGATTAGAAATTGCTCCCCCAGCCCCCACCAATAAATTAGACAAGGAAGTGGTGTTTGGCTGACCCCCTGGGCTGGGACAGAGAAAGGTGGCGATGGTCAGGGGCTGAGGTGCACCCGCAGGGACAGTGTTTCTAGAATTCCATACCCACTTTCCTTGGCAGAACATCATCGCGGAGCACGAGATCCGGAACATTTCCTGTGCGGCCCAGGACCCAGAAGACCTCTGCACCTTCGCCTACATCACCAAGGACCTGCAGACGGGCCACCACTACTGCCATGTTTTCAGCACGGTGGACGTGGTGAGTAGTCCCGCTGCTGGGAGGGCTGGATCGAGACGGCCTCAGTGCTGTGCTACCCTGGCACCTGGTGGGCTCCTAGCAAACGTTTGGTTCATGAGTGAAGCCCCAGCAGCTGTCTGGTCTGACCCACTCTGTACAGCAGTGAGACTGAACCTCAGAGGATAGTGGCTTGTCCCGAGCTCTGGTGACAGAGGCTCTCGTACTTCTGACGAGAGTGCGTTAGTCAGTCACGGCCTTTGTCTCCCCTGGGCTGCTTGTCCGCCGCCACCCTACTTCCCCAGCCCTGCAGCTGGGCATCTCCCTGAAGCGCCCTCTGCCTCCCTTGTCAGGGCAGCAAGGCCCCCCTGGCAGGAGGTTTTCTTCCCCCAGAGTCCTGCGTGTTCTGGGCGCAGGTGCTGGGCTGAGGGGAGGTGCCCACAGGCGTGGGACAAGGCCCCAGGCTGCTTCCTCACCCGACTCTCATCCAGGTCCCTGTTGCTAGTTCCTAAATCTGTAGCTTCTGAAGCCCATGGCCAGGCAGCCCCAGCCCCAGAGCCTCCGCGCCGGCTCTGCCTGGCAGCAGGCTCCTCATCTGTAAAGGGGATGTAATGTCACCAACCTTGTGGGGTTGTTTTGAAGATGGAATGAAGAACCCACCCAGCCCTTGTTGTTCTTGGCACTTACTTTGTTACTTTTCCCATGTCAGTTCTATGACACATCTGTGTGCTCCTGAGGTCACTAGGCCCTGTGAAATCGCAGAGTAAAAACCAGGGTTTGCGGGGACGGGGCACTAGGACTAACACTCAGAAACTTCATCAGCAGTATGTTGAGAAAGAGATGGGAACTGAATTAAAACCCTAGCCCGTTTTATTCAAATTAAACTGCTAGGAAGTACACAGATACCACAGTAACCACTGTACTCCCCGAGAAGGACCTGAGGTTGGCTGTGGAAATGTGGCCGAGGGGGAGAGGGGAGCAGAAGACTAGAAGAGAAACGGGCGGAGGCTGGGGACAGCAGCACAGTCCAGACGGCAGGACAGGAGCCCAGGCCCTGGGAGGGTGCAGCCTGCGAGCCGAGCCAGGAGGTGAAGCCGTGGACAGCTGAGGCCGCACACGTGGGTGTGTGCATGGCACACGGTCCTGCCGTGTGCCCGTTTCTGAGTTCAGGTGACCCGGGTCAGCCAGGTGCAGGTTTGCATTCACCTAGTGTTTCTCCCCAAGGAAGTGACGCGTGAGGAAATAAAATGATGTTAGGCTCAGGTTGTTCCCTAATATGTCGGGTGCTCTGGGACAGGAACAAGTGTTCCTGCAGAAACGCCTATGCTCTGTGCCCACCAGGCCTGTGCCCGGGGGGAGGCCAGGTAGCTCCCCTTCCATCTGCTGAGCTGTGCTGTTTCCTCCCAGACCTTGACCTACGAGATCATCCTGACGCTGGGGCAGGCGTTCGAGGTGGCCTACCAGCTGGCCCTGCAGGCCCAGAGGTCCAGGCCGGCAGGAGCCGCTGCCGCCGAGACGATGGAGATGAAATCTTCCAAACCGGTGCCTAAGCCTCGTGCCGGCGTGAGGAAGTCAGCAGTACGTGCCCCCGTCACCGAGACTCCCCTTGCCCCGGGCTCTCGGGTCTCCCGCGCTTCAGGCAGCTGGCCCCTCAGGAGACCGCCCGTCCATCAGGCTCCCGCTCAGTGCTCACCGGGCAGGCAGCCCCTAAGCGAGCGGACAGTGGTCCAGCCCGGGCAGCCTGCTCACCAGGCGCGCCAGGGCCCGGCCACCGCGGGGCTGCAGAGTGCGGCCCGGGCGAGCCCTGTAACGTCACGTGTCTGTCTGCTTTGCTTCGCGCCCCAGGTGCCGCTGCCCCCCGATAGTCGCTGTTGTTACTGTCACACCTGCACCACCCATCGTCCTTCCTACCTACCGCTGCCGTCTGTTAGTCCCGGAGTCAAGGTCTTTGCATCTCCTGTGTCTGTGTATCTTCCTAGAGCGACCGTGAGCTTCCTGTGACTTGTGGCCTCCCTGCCCACGTGGCATCTCCTTTCCTGAGCCTCCCACCCTCCCTGTCTGTGCTTTAGCCCCTGTTCTGTGTGTCCTCCCTCAGAGGTCTGGGGTGCCAGCTGTGGTCTTGCCCGGGGTGAGCTCTCTGGCCCCACCGGAGGGGACCGGAGGGTTGGAGTTTCCAAACCCCTCTCCTGCCTGCCACAGCTCTGGGGCTCAGAGCATGATGCTCAGGCAGGGCAAGGCCCCTGTGGGCAAACGGCTCTGAGAATTCCCTCGGATAAGCTGCCCATTCTGAGGCCCAGCGGTGGCCCTCCCACAATGACCCAGGGAGGGAGTCACTTCTGCCGCCTCCTGCCCCCCCTCAGTGGGGCTGCTCTTTGGACTTCCCTCCTGGCAGGCCTTGCGTCTGCCACGCTCCACATCCCTCCCAGGCTTCTAGCATCAGATTCCAGGGGGAGTTGCTTGAGAAGCCTCGGGCTGAGCGGGCAGCTGGGTGGTCGTCACCCAGATCTTAGAAAGCTAGTCTGACCTTGGTCTGTCTTTGAGATGCCCAGGCAGGGGGGTGGGACAGCTGGGCCCTGCTGCCCCTGGGCCCTGGCGCGACGCTCCATCTGATTCTTCCCTTCTTCCTTGGCAGCTGGAACCGCCAGATGTGGACCCAGATGCCCAGTCCCATGCCAGTGTCTCCTGGGTTGTGGACCCCAAACCAGACTCTAAGAGGAGCCTCAGCACCAAGTATGAGACCACTATCTTCTAACCACCCACTCCCTGTCTCCAGTAGTCTCACTGTGCCTTGCCACCTGGTCTTTCTGCTCTTCTCAACTCTCCTTCCAGCTGCTGACACAGGCCCTGCCCCGGGACCTCTGCTCCTGGGCAGTAGCTGCAGACACTGCACACTCACAGCTGGTACCACCACCGGACACTGTGAACCCCCTGGGCGAGGACAGCTTGGGGGGGTGAGTTGCCTTTGAGGCGAGTGCCAGTAGGGCTAAGGGCTGCTGTGCCCCAGAAGCCTCAGCGGCAGGCACTGTGAATCCTGAGGGTGGGGACGGACTCTGAGCAGAGTCCCAGCAGCCCGTGATAGCTCTCACTGGGCTGGGCCCTCTGCTGTCTTCTGTGCTGAGCCACGTCTGGGGTCACTGCTAACAGCTCTCTGTTTGCACCTTTCTTGACACAACCAACCACTGTGACCACTTGGTGCCAGAATCCCCATGCACTCTGCTCAGTTGGCCTGTGGCCCTGTCTCTCTCCCGTGTCCCCCCGTGAAACCCTGAGCTCAGTGATATCACCGGACCAGGGTCAGACTGCTTTCTGTGAGGGCCAAAGTCCGTGCCAGGTCCTGGGGCAGATGCCCAACTCCAGAGCTGAGCGTCTGAACACCGCAGGCTGGCCTCACTCAGCAGGTCCCAGTCCGGGTGGGTCTTCCACTCCCAGGAAGGGGATGGTATGTGCGGTCGGCCCCCCTATCTTGGCCAGTGAGTCACAGGCTGGCCTGGAGTCTAGCTCAGCAAGCAGGAAGGCCTCCCTGTAGGACCCAGCAAGAGGGAGCCTGCACCCTGCACACATGGTGCCCGTCTTCCCTCCCCGAACCAAGCTGCTCGAGGGTAGGGACCTGGACCGAGCAGCTTCTATTGTCCCCCAGGAGCTTTCTAACACTTTCTGACACTTGTCCACAGTGCAGGGATCAAAGGTAGTCAGCCATCATCCGGTCCCTTCTCTGCTCAGGGGCTGTGCAGTCTGTCACCACAAAGGCCAGCAGCCACAGTCTCAGAGTCGAGCTCTGAAGACGCCCTGCACGTGCTCTGCAGTGGCCAGTCCCCAAGGCGGCGGGAGACGGGAAGAGCAGCTCGTTAGGGAGCAGTGCAGGCACAGCGCAGTCCGGCAGAAAAGCCCCGTGACAGCAGCCACTTCAGGATTGACACCCACGTTGGTAAACCACGTGGTCCTCCCGCCTGCCGGCCTGTCCCGTGCCTTCCCGGGCAGACGCGCTGAGCCAGAGGCGACAGTGGGCCCTCGGGGAGGCTGTGAGGGACCATCTGTTCTGCTGCCTGTTCCCTTTCCGCTTCCTCTTCCCTTTCCGTGTCCTCCACCTGTGCAGGCCCCTTGGTTAACCCTTTCCTCCCCCCGTTGTGTTTGCTTCTGCCAAGCTGAGCCACTGAGGAACCAGCTGTGCTGCGGAAACACAGGTGCGGGAGCACAGGCTTCCGCCACCGCAACCTCCACCGTCTCACCTGCAGCTTCGAAGCCCCAGGCCCGGCCTCTGCCTGGAGGGCCTCCTCCCGCGGCCTGGCCTGGCCTGGCCTGCCACCTCCGGGTCTTGCAGAGAGAGCCCTGCCCTGGCTGCGGAGCACTGCGGGCCTGTAGCCAAGGAGACTGGAACCCCAGAGGGTCAAGATGTGACTTGTCCAGAACACATTTTTTAATGGAAAAAAATTTTTTTATAAAATGAACTTTTAACACTTGGCTTGAATCTCTAGGTTAAACTGCCAACCTTTAGAGAAGGGGCCACAGGATCAGAGGACAGGGAAACGAGAAGGGTAAAAGGCCAGTCTGTCCGTCCTCTGTCCTCAGGATGGGATTTAGATGAGGTCTAGCAGGTCCAACGAGAAGGCAGTGCCTGTGGGTAGTGGAAAGGGGCAGAACTGACTACTTGTTGTTCGTTTGCTTTTCAAACCCATCAAATTAGATGCTGTTCCCTATGAACTGCACTCGTCTTGTCACCACCCAGCCCTGGGCACAGCCTTAGAGGCACCTGGCAGAAGCAAAGACTTCTGGTCTGTGTCGGGTTCCAGAAGTGACAGTCCAGGGTCCATCTGGGGATGAGTGAGCAGCTACTGGTGCCACGAAGTCTGAGCTGGCGCCTGGAGCTCTGGCCACTCAGTCTCTGACCCTTCGGTGGTCAGCACTGCCCTGGGCTGCCTGGCCTACGTGCTCTCTGGTGACTTCAGCAGCCTGAGTTGAGTCGGGAAGGAGGAAAAGCAGCTTTGCTTTGGGCATTAATGGGCAGGCCAGCTAACACTGCTGCCTGCCAACTCACGACTTGTCTCATCAGGTCTCTGTGATTAGGACTCACTTGGATTCTCTGAATTACTGGTTTGACTGTTGTGTTCTCAGCTGCTGGCTCACCCCTGGCTCCACGTGTAGAAAAGGGAAGGTGACAGTCAGTTTGATTCTCCACGTGGCCTTCAGGGCAGGCTGGCATCTGGCTCTGCTGCCCCTTCAGCCCTCCTGGGCTTGCTTTGCTTTTTAACTGTGGTTGTGTTCCCCTCCAGAATGTAGCAGAAACGGGGGGCAGGTTCATGTGAGGCAGAGAGGCAGAGCCAGGCCAGCGGCTGTCCAGTACCTTCCAGAGCAGGGAGCAGACCTCCTGGTGGGCGAGGCTTGGTCTGGTCCCAGCGTCAGTAGTCCAGGCGTCAGCAGTGGCTCTTTCCCAGGGAAGGTTAGAGTTGATCGAGACTCCCTGCTGTTGTGCACGTGCAGGACGGCTCCTGGGCACGTTCACAGCCCGTGGTTGGCCGGACACTGAAGCAGGGCCGGGTCTTCCTGCTGACTTGAGCTGGGCTGTCCTGCACCAGGGGCCCTGGCAGTCACCTCCCCTCTGGAGTAGAGGTGGATGATCCTCTACTTTTCGGTACTGAACAGGAACCTTGACACCTGGAAGTTTGACTTTACTTCCTGCTGCTTCCAGGGCCTGCAGGGTTCTGCCCTACTTTCTTCCAGGAGTTGATGAGGGCCAGAGGCGGATGGGGAAACTGCCACTGCAGGGCTCTGCCAGCCGAGCAGGGCCAGGAAGGCCAGCTGGCCTAAGGCCGCCTCATGGTGTAGGTGGTGGGGCCAAAAAGAAAACTAGACACTACGATGAGTCCCTCCAGCCTTGTGTTTTTAAGTCACTTGTTGGTGTTTCTTCCTCTTAAAGCTGCTACGTCTTTATTTATTCAGGGTGTTTTCACGTTAGAAGGCCTTGGCTGGTCTGCTTTGGCTCTGGGTTTTGTTTTGAGATTGGTTTGTTTCTGAATATTCAAGAAAGGAAAGGACTGGATCTTCCTTTTCTACTCCCCCAGGGCAGGTGCTCTCCCTCCCCTAGAAAGAAATGCTATCAACAAGGACAGGCTTCAAGTGGGAAAGCCCTGCTCTGCACTCCTCTCGGTGCAGGTCACGTGACACCCCCGTCTGCGTTTCTGAACTGTGAGAGCCTGTTTAGCTGGGACTTGAAACGGGTTGGCACCTGTCACCAGCCGCAGGCTCTCTGGTTGCCGCTTTCCTGCTTGCCAGCCCTCTGAGCAGGACTTTCCTCCTAGTGGGCCCTGCGTCTGCTGCGCTCCGCAACCCTCCTGGGCTTCTAGCGTCAGGTTCCAGGGGGAGTTGCTTGAGAACCCTCAGCTGAGCAACAGCTGGATGGTCGAGTCACCCAGACCTTAGAAAGCTAGTCTGACCTTGGTCTGACCCTGAGACGCCCGGGCCCAGCAGAATGGCTGTCACAGGAGTATTGTTGCTAACGGTGTGGCGACGGGCCTGAATTGTAATAAAAATGTTATTTAATCTTTGTCTCTGTATTTTGATACTTGAATGACTTCCCCTTTTATTTTACTGTACATATCATTGTTAATCTGTTGTTTTGTCCGAATCACAAACATCTTGTGGTACCAAACATAACCCACCTGTGCGACAGCAAAGACTGACCTCACGACCCGAGTGTAAATACTCCTGGGCTTCCAGCAGCGGTGGTTATTTTCATAACTGTACAGCTTAGAACAGACGGAATTAATAAATGAGAAGTGACATGAAGCCAGCCTGCCTTTTTGGAGTCTTTGGATTGGAACGTTTCTGGTGGTTTCCTGGGGCCAGCACAGGCCCGACTGGGTCGGTGGTGAGCCGCCCACTGTTCGGGGCGAGTTTGGGAACTGTCCTCTGCCCCGCATTCAGCGGGAGGGTTGGCAGTTATTCCTCACCCGGGCTGGGTTCAAGGGCCCTACGCTCCCCTCCCCCTCGGAGCGTCTGGTCTGAGTGCCGGCAGAGGCCGCCCGGCCGCATCTTGGTCGGCTGGTGGCCCCCGTGGCGCGCTGTGCACAGCCAGCGTGGGGGCCGAGGGCTGCGGGAGAAGCGTCCGTCCGACGGGACTTTGACTGTGGAGCTTAGGTTTTAGACACACAATTAGCTACAGGCCTGGAGCCGTGCCACAAGGCCCACGCAGGACAGTCTCGAGGCTGTGGGGACAGAGGGACAGAGTGCTCCCAGAGCCGGTGGCAGGGAAGGGGAGGGTCGGTGTCCCGACTGGTATTTGAAAGGGAAAGATTTGGGAAGGCGCAAATGACACTAACGACCCTTCACTGACAGCCCTGGGCTCCAAACCCGCTGGTCCCCTACAGGTACCAGCTCATTGGCCCTCACGCCTTTCCAGGTGTCACCATCCCTGCTTACAGAGAAGGAAACAGGCTCAGACCATTAAAACACCTGCCCAGGGCCAGCTGGAGGGAACCCCAGAAACCTGGTCCAGTGGCTTCAAGCTGTCCTCAGAGGCCCTGGCCCTGCCTGCTTCCACCCGAGCTGCCTGCCACTAACCAGTTGTGAGTCTCTGTGACGTTCCATTTGTTAAAGGGCTTAGAAACAAAGCTGAGCTAACCCGACACCCAACTGCGTGGTGAGGACAGTGAGGCCCAGAGCAAGGAAGCCTTTCTCTTAGCCAGCCAGCCAATGGCAGAGACAGGGCTGAAAGCCGGGTTCCTGCTCCCAAGTGGGGCTTCCTAGGTCAAATTCATTGAAACTGGGAAGGCAGGCCCCAGGGAGGGCCTCCGGCTCCCTTGCTCCTGGCTTTGGTGCTCTCCTAGGCAGAGGACACCTCACAGCCATCAGTGTCACTTCCTCTGGACACTGTATCAGGACACATGGCCACTGTCAGTCCCTTAGGTGCCACCTCAGAGGTGTGACACTACCCAGTCCTGGCTATGGTACTGATGGGGCCTGGGGCCTGGTGGGTGGGACACAGACCAGCTCACACTGGGCACCTGGACCTGCTGTTTTAGCCACAGGCCAAATGGGAACCAGAATTTAACAGAAGGGAGAGAACGGGAGGACCGGGAGACGAGAGAGGTAGGGCAGCCTCAACAGGCAGCTTCTGTCCCCATCACCCAGTAACCTCTCCCTTCCCTCTGACTCACTAGTCAGGGGTCTACACTCTGGCGTCCTTGGAACCCGGAGGTTGCCAGGGGGCCTGGGTTCTGCTCCTGTATAGAGAAGAGCAGGGGGTAGGCCCACTCAAGGCTTCATCCATGCTCCTCTCCCCATCAGGGGCCATTGGGGTGTCACTCCTGTAGGCTGAGAGAGCCGCTCAGCAGGGACCAGGTTACTGGGGAGGCAGAACTTTGCCAACTGGAGCACTTCCAAGGACAGCTCAAGACCCCTCTATCAGCCTGGCCACTTCTACCTGCACCCGAAGGGTGTCTAGAGGCCACCTGGATCCCTGCAAACAGGGACAGGCAGACCTTCAGGGTATCTGCAGCTCAAACTGTGGCCCACATGGCAACTAACACCCAAGGTATTCAGAGCTCTGAACCATCCGCTGCCCAGAGAAGTCTCTACGACCTGTGGCTGCTCCTGTCAGGTCCCAGGTGCTGGGAACATTAACAAACAAGCATTGACCAAAGTAAAGACTTTCCCTAACACCATAAATCATTTATTATCCAGTCAATGGAGCTGGGACAACTGGGTAGCCATGGGAGGGCTGGAACAGTACAGGGAGATTCCTATCACTACTTACACAAAAATAGACTACACATGGTGCAGAACATACTTAAATGTAAAAGAAAGGAAAAGAGAGAGAAACCCAAACAAAGCTACAAGAAAATGGGGGACTGTTTCATAAACTTGGTATGAGTAAGGTTCTTCCAAGCACATTGTAAAACTGAGTCCTTCTTTTAAAGATCAATATATTCAACTATATAAAAAATCAAACATTTCTGCACAGCAAAATGCACCATTAAAAAAACAATGTTTGCACCACTCGTCACAAAAGACAACTTGACAATAGCATCAAAAGTAAACTGAACTACTTCCAAAGATGAAACAGACTTTTCCCTGCTCTCGCTAAGTACAATGCAAACCCCTGGCAGAAACACCGCTGGGCACAGACGAAGCCCAGACAGAAGCCTGCTCTCTGTAGCTGCCAGACACTGGTGGGGAACACCCCCCCTCTGCCCAGCAGTGACAAAAGGACCAAAACGAGAGTCTAGTGGATGGGCTCAATGGACAAATGGAAAAGAGGCCGAATCCACAAACTAGAAGAAAAAATAGAAGTTACCCAATCTGAACAACAGAGAAAATAGATAAAAACAATGAAGAGAAGAGTCTGGGGGACCTATGGGGACTATAACAAAACAGCAAACATTTTTTTTTTGTCAGCAGAGTCCTAGGAGGAGAAGAGGGTGGGGCTGAAAACGTAATCCACAAAATAATACCTAAAAACTCCCCAAATTTGGCAAGATGTAAACCTGCAGATTCAAAAAGCTGAGCACACCCAGACCAGATGAAACAAAAGGAATCCACGCTGAGATGCATCATGATGAAATTTCTGGAAATGGAAGACAGAGAAAATCATCCCTGAAAGCGTGAGAGGAAAGTGACAGGTTACCTACAGGGGAAAGTAACAAATGACAGCCTTCTAGCAGAACTGTGTAGCCTGAAGGATGTAGTACAGTACTTTTCAGGCGCTGAAAAAGAAGAACTGGGAACCCCCAATTCTATACCCTGTGCAGATGCTCTTCAGGAATGGAGAGGAAGCAAGGCATCCTCAGACGAAGGAAAACCACGGGACTAGGTCACCAGCAGACCCGCCCTGCAAGAATGGTGGAAATCTTCTAAATGGAAAGGAAATGATAGACGTAAC